CAATATAGGCATTTAATGCTTTTCTTTTTCCGAATGGGCAAAAATGCCACACAAGCGGCAAATAAGATATGCGCTGTTTAGCTCCGTGAAGTTGGCACCCCCAAATGCAAATTTTTACAAAAATCAAATTACATTCGTTTGTCCACGATTTGTTCACGTTTGTCCAACCAAAATTTTCGTTTGTCCACTANTTATTAGGTTGTCCGGAAAGTTCGTGCCGATTTTCGGTAGGTAGCGCGAGAGACCTGATTGAATATATCACAATTATTGAAAACAAATGACATGTGTACATATTCTGAAAGAGATAGCTTCAGTCATGTTTGGAAAAAAGATTGGTTACGATTCGTTAATTTTTATCAGTTTTGTACGCCTTAGAATATGGTGGCAAATGAAGTGCAATATAGGCATTTAATGCTTTTCTTTTTCCGAATGGGCAAAAATGCCACACAAGCGGCAAATAAGATATGCGCTGTTTATGGCGAGGATGCTGTAGCCGAAAGAACTGTGCGAAAGTGGTTTGCTCGGTTTAAAGCTGGAAATTCCGACCTGGAAGATCAAGAACGCCCAGGTAGGCCGTCCACCACAGACGAAGATATGATTAGAACAGAAATCGAGAACAACCCACGCTCGACATTACGTTAATTAGCACGAATGCTAAATCAATCAAAATCAACCATACACGATATTTAAATGAGTTGCGTTTTAATTGTCCTAAAATATCGGCACGAACTTTCCGGACAACCCAATAGTAATCCGGATACGATTAAAAACCGGCATCACATTTTCAGTAACGCAATAAAACGGTCCACGTGCACCGAGTTTTCCGCGGTACAACGCGACGCAGTTGAATTTCGAAAGCAAAAGCGTATACGAGACAACGTAGCCAGCTGAAAATGAACGGGCGGCGATGAAAGTGGTCGAGGCCGGCAGTCGGTGGCAGTTTTTAACAAAGTTCCCGAGTTCCGCGTACCGTACAGAACGGTTTATTTGCTCTATCGCGCAACGAGCGGCCGTAATTATGGTAAAAAGTTCGATGCGTTTCGTTTGCGGGACTCTGTTTATCGGGCTGTTTGACGAAACAATTGGGAATCGAAATCGATATCCCCTTTTCGCCTGGCCGAAAAATTTTCACAGTATTCTTTACCGAATTCAAATGCACTTATCGCGAATTAAGAATAATACTAAATAATTAAAATAGCTCTAATTACGCAAATGGTATTATTACGGTAAAATGTTCGATGCTTTTCGTTCATTAATTTGACTGTGAATATTTATACGAATTCCTATTTTCAGTCACAGAATTAAACACAGAAAATGTCATTTGTTTTCTCCTCTAAATATTATAAATTATATTTTCCTTCGGATATTTTGCGTTTATTTGCATGTCACTGAATATAGTGCGTCTGTACATTATTGAAAATTCCTGTAAATGCATAAACATCCGCAGTCTAGTCATTAATCTCTGTTGCATGATTTTCGATTTGATCACCGAACCTGCGGGCGAATATATTTCACTTGTGGGACGAAACGTGGAAATCGAGTGAAAAACCGGTGAAAGGGACTGCTTAACCGAGCAAATGAATGCGTACGTTCACGGCCGAACGATTCGCAAGGGCCGTCGAATCGTTTTCAGAGGTCGGGGACCGATATGAAGAGGGGGTCGGTTAAGACTTTCAGGCTTTCATCGGGCCACGACGGACACTAATCTGCCGTCCATGTATATTCAAATACCCGTCGCGATAAATCTCCTTGCCTTTCGTTTATTAACGAGACGACGATTCTGCATCGATTTTCATTAACCGAGCTGCCGAGATTAAACAGGAGCGTTGGAAGTTCCAATAAAATTTATTGATATGTAACTAAAATAGAAACTGAAACACCAAGTCCAAAAATAAACATAACACGGAACCGAGTTTGCTAAATTTCGTACAACTGCGAGCTAGCTATTCAAGTAATTAGTACGTGGGATATAATTCATGAAACTACGTACACTTTAAAAGATCGCCGTTAATTAATTTCGTGAAACATTTTGAAGAAAAGACGAGTTCAGTTCAGAGTTAAACGCCGCAGGAACAAAGGTGATTCTTCAAAGGGAAAATTCGCAAACCCCTCGCGTCCAGACTTTGAATTCGATCGAGAAGATACGAGACTGAACCCTATCAACGGAATCTAGTCCTGATTCTATAAAAATTGTCGAACACCGAGGAGCGAAAGGGAAGACTTGAGACGCTCGAAATTGGCCGTTGAAATCTCGTTAGGCCGCGAAAGTGCAAGCCTCGAGAACGCGTCATCCTAAAACCCGCTCTTTCCTTCTCTAATTCTCATCCCGTTCGGCTTTCGCCATCGCGAAACAAGAAGAACCTGATGCAATTCGATGTGACAATGGACGAGGGGAGCTTTTACGACGTGAAAAAAGACGGCAAAGAGATATGCATATATCGCGTGCGAGTAACGAAGGAAGGCATACAAAATATCTTGCAGCTGAACGAACTAGAAAATGATTCACTCTCGCGATGCTAGATATCGATCTAAAAGCTACGCCAGTGCTACCTGCAATTAATCTCGAGATATGATCTTTTACTTATTAATTTTACATCAGAAGAATGAATTTCGAACGTGTAAAGAGTTCGTTTTAATTAAATCAGTAAATAATCGCTCGAACGATACTTCCTATCGTTTCAAACCTGCATCCATGATAAAACAGTGAATGATCCACGCGTGCGATTAAATTAGACATCGGAGCCATTTAGAGAAATCCGCGGCACTCATAATCGAGTAGCAAACGAGCCCTTCAACCGTGCGAGTGAACGGAATCGTGAGAAAACCCACGACCAACTTCAAACTCTCCCCTACCGGGAATTATTTATATTCAAGAGTAATTACGGCTTAAATTGCACGTACATACTGGAAATTGCTAGTTTGCGAGTTGCAAACGTGGGTACACATGTCGATGACAGGTGTGCGAGTATCAATCTCTTAGCGAACCGATGAAATATTTGATAGAATGCTTAAATTATAAAATAAGTAAATGTTTCGTTACCCGAAGCGATGCTAATTTTAGATTGAGAAACTCTCCTATCGGAAATGTAAATCGTACCTAGATATCTGACTACTCGTTCTGCAAGGAATTATTTATGCTCAGGAGTAATTACGGTCTAAACTGCATGTACACCGGTAATTGCTAGTTTGCGAGTTGGGAACGTGAGTACGTGTGTTGATGACAGGTGTGCTCTTTCAATAAAGTGCTGGCATTGTCATTCTTACAATTCCTAATAAAAATTACATAAGGCTAATAAATGTTTCATTCTTGTTGGAATATGGAATAATATCTCCCATTACTGTAAACATCCGGTTCGATCGTCGATACATTTTTGGCCCACGATATAAGCTTTCTCAAAAGGATTCATCCAGCAGTTCTAAACTGTTACTGTTTCTAAAACATACAGATACTTATATTGTCAATTAAGTACAGTTGTAGAATAGAACACAATAATTAACGCTACAGTTAATTTCCAATAAAATTCTGACTCAGTGTTATCTGCAATCCTGAGTAAAAGTTTTGCGTGATCAATAAACGTTCTGTTCTGAACCGATACTATTTGCAAATGGAACATACGTAGATATCTAAACCAGTTTCCTCCGGTTTCGGTTAATAACAACAATGAAACAGTACCCATTGACCAATGCTAGGTGTTCACCGAATAGGTAACATCCCTTTTCGATAACCGTCCTTACGCAGGGGCCGATCGACCGCTTGTTTAATGAAAATGGCATTGTTACGATTCTCAAACAAATCGCAGCGTATAGATGCCAACGAATAATGTTCCCACTATGGCGACGAAACACGAATCAATTCGAATCGTAATCTAGTGCCGATGCCTGTTCGGATTATACGAGTTCGATAGCATTATACCTGGCGCAAGGACCCAAGTACACGATCGTATTTTCCGGAAGAGCAAGTGCATTTAAACAAACGTGAAAAATGTTTCACCAGATTACGAATTTTAATGAATCATAATGAAAATCAAGTACTCAGTAATTGTCTAAACAGGAAAACATGATATTACAAGCACACGTTTCGTGAACCGAAACCCTCTGTGCGTTAATTCATTTGAAATAGCAGCCGCCACTTGCGATTCTCCTTTCCTTAGAAATTCAAACTTTCTAAGTTAAGGAGATTCTTAGTGTACATTCGTGTTTAGTATTAATGCGTCGCTGTTCTTCACGTGCTACCCTCGCGGCCAGTTAACACGCGGCCTCCTAAACTTCCAACGAACTTTTCGCCGCTAAAACAATTTGGCTGGGACGAGCTTCGGGATAACGCGAGTTTCCCGACGCGACGTCGCCGTGACCGTAGTAATACCTTTCTCGCTCCGATCGTTTGATAACGTAATCGTTTAGATTAATCCTTTTTAACGAGCGTGAACGTGGGCGGAGAGCTACGCCGACTACGTGACTTCTGCGATCCTACCAGCGCGCATCAATTTATAACTTTATGCTGGTTGATAAACTATAAAATATAAACGTTTCGTTAGATCATTGAATAAGCCGCTGTTTAATAAGAGTCACCCGAATTTCCTAATCACTTTCCTACCTTTTCGTTATTTACTATGAAAAGATTATACGACACGGCATAACGCGGACGGTACGACAATTGGAAGTTCCTGGTCAGACTTCCTGATCAAGAATGTTGACATCAATTCGACCTATCTATCATCTGTCCTGCTCCGAGACAATCATTTAATAAACCGGATATACTGCGTGTATACGCCACCCCCACGTGCGATTCAATCGCAAGAACATAATCATGATTCACAAAAAAAATACATGTAGCAGTTCCGTTCAATGAACACCAAACGAAATATTAAAGTAACGATGAACGGGAATCGTGTAGCTTAATCATAAGGTGCACGTTCAAGTGCTGTCAGATGCACGTTAGGTGCATCGTCGAATAATCACGTTTAACATTGATCGAATTGAATAAATGTCAAAACACTCACCCAAGTAGTCAACGTCGAGATCCACGATGAGATATCCAGGCACCACTCGAACCTGCTTCGCTCCTCGCGGACGTCAGATTTCACGAAACTCGGTGCATGACCACTAACCGAAAACGATGCGTGTTCGCTCGCATCTAAAATGCAACTTGAACCTTAGCCCGCGCTTTGGTGACTGCCGCGAAGGACCGAGAGTGGGGTGCCTCGACCCTTCATGGGAAACCTCCACCAGGTGCCAGCAGAGGCTGGACACGATGCTCGCAAGCGCGATGTTAAAGATGATCTCTGCTGTAATGGTATTCAAACCAGTGCATGTTAATACAGACAATGATTTTTGTAATAGCAGGTACTCGTCAATGCTCAAAATAATTGTCGTTCTAAGGTTTTACAAGAGAGCAGAGTATGAAACCAATCTTTCAAACGAGCTTTTTGCTGAAGACAATGATTCTGACAATGTATTAGAAAATTATAAAGATCTATGTTTCTCTGATCATTAGATTGCGGATTTGTATGCCGAATTATATATTCATGCGATCAGTTAAATAAATTCCTTCTGAATAGGCTATAAATATTGTAATGAGAACTCGTCTTTTAATATAATAGTTCGTATGCTTATGATCATGACACTTGTCAATAAAAATGATGGACAAATGCATAAAATCTACTGTCTACTGATCATTCCTTACATTGACTATCACAATTGTACAAAATATACGTACTTAATTATATATAATAACCGTGACAGAGAATTATACAAGCCTGTGCACTAGAGATCCTATCCCGATGCTGCGTACAATTTGTCACTCATTCGCGATATATTACACGAACAAAAATACCTACCATCATGTGCAGAGTCAAAAAGTCGACTGTGCATCATCGTGGAGGTTGAGATTCTTCAAAATAGCACTTATCTTCGACGATATTTAAGATTTATTAACACTAAACTAGCACTGTCGTCCAAGTCGCCAAGGGAAGACTTTTACCGCGTAGTACGCGTCACGTGATATGATCACGTGATGGACGCCATGAGTCAAATCAAGTGATGAAAAATATAATATATTTTTTTCGAAAGAATGAAGTATGTTAATAATCATGGATTAGTAACCTACGAATTACTATGCAAAGTAACAGAATTATAATATTCATCTAGGAAAGTGCATATTAAATAACTATTGCATCGATCACGGTTATTATGAGAATACCTAATATACGAAATTTCTATGGTACATTTTCATACGGTTTATACCATTCATTCAACGTTCAATTATGTTTTTCATAAATTCACGATATATTACACGAACGAAAATACCTACCATCATGTGCAGAGTCAAAAAGTCGACTGTGCATCATTGTGGAAGTTGAGACTATTGAAAATAATACTTATCCTCGACAATATGTAAGATTTTTTAACACGACGAACAAGCACTGCCGTCCAAGTCGTCGAGAGAAGACTTTTACCGCGTAGTATGCATCACGTGATATGATCACGTGACGGACGCCATGAGTCAAATCAAGTGATGAAAAGTATAATATATTTTTTCGAAAGAATAAGATATGTTAGTAATCGTGGATTATTAAACTACGAATTACTATGCAAAGTAAACAATTATAGTATTCAGGTAGAAAAGTGCATATTAAATGACTATTGCATCGATCAGGCTTATCATGAGAATACCTGATACGCGAAATGTCTATGGTACGTTTTCACATGGTTTATACCATTCATTCATCGTGCAATTATGTTTTCCATAAATCCATCGATTCAGCAGGTTTATTCATCGAAATTGTTCGAATTACGATGTTTCCTGTGACGTAGTCGTACTTGCCGCTGTGCACTTCGGTAGTAGATTTTTGACCGCGAGATGTCAGGACCCCACGTGATCGAGACGCCATTCCGCTCGTAATGGCGGACGTACAATCGGCACGGTAAGAGGCAAGGCGGGGTATCATCGACGTCACATTCGGCAACGTTCGTCGACGTTCGAGTGGCCCGATCTAGCCCGAACGGGTCAATGTCTGAGGAGGCTTCGAAAAATTCGTAGCTGGTGTGGTGTTCGTGTGCTGGGCGAGAAAGAGAAAAACCCCGTTGATCGGCGACGATTGATTTTCCATGTAAGTGAAGCTCGCGCGTTTTATCCGTGTCCCGCCAGGCTCGAGGCTTCGACGTACGATCGCACAGTGGTTTTCGACGATCGTCGAGAGGGACAACGACGAGAGACGACGACCTCCCCTCGAGCAACGTCAACACGAGCGACGACGAAGTCGTCCACGTCGGCGTCATCACGGCTCGGATCCTCAAAGAGTGATATCGTGAATAAGCGTGCACGAAACCCCTGACATAGTCGACGATCTTCTGTCCTGACGACTCGCAGAGTGACAAGATTCTAGGTACATCGAGGTGGATAGAACGAGTGAGAGAAGGAGGTGAGGCTTCCCCCGTGCGTTCCGAAAGTACGAGTGCAGAAGCGAGAGAAGAAAGGGAGAAAGAACAAGGAACAGAGACGATCGACGATTACGCCGTTCGGTCGAAAAAGAGTGCTCGAGCGCGTGTGTAGGTATACGATGCAAGTCTCTGAAAACTATTGCCAGTATCGATATCCGAAGTAGAGCAAATTCATCGCGTTGCGGCTTTCACAGAAGCCGCAAACGGCGAGTTCGCGAGTGTTTCACACGACGACGACGACGAGGAAATCCGACCCGACGGTCGGATCATCGTGGAATTGTACTATATAAGAAGGCTACCGAGTGTACCTCCACTGGCGACCAGACCAGTGTACGAACCATTCCGAAAACGTCAAGCCCTGCCTCCCCTCGCAGCACGGCTCTCCGCGACACCTCGCGCCCTCGTCAGGTTATTAGGTAGTAGAACCGCACTTCTCGGTGCGTGATAGGGTTGTTAACGGTTAATACGAAAAATTGTCGCAGATCGTGTCGATTCGGACGCTGTCCAAGTGTTCGCGTTCGTGCATCGCGGATCGGATCTCGCTTTGGCGAGCCAGACAGGACGAGACAAAAGAGAAGCGTCGTCGTGCGAATCGTAGAACGTCGACGGGCGAGGGAAGCCCGTAGCGGGAAGCTATTCCCGCGAACGACGAAATAACCCAAGTGTGCGAGAAAGCAGCGTTCGAGAGTCGCTGCTACCGTCATCGACCGCGTCACCACGATCGTCGGAGACGAGGTGTCCCCCGAAGAAAGTGCTGACAGAGTGAACCCCCTGTGAGATTCCAACGACTTGGACCGCCTTTTATCCTTGACTCCAGTGATTTTCAAAGGAATCGCGAGGATCGAACCATCGTCGGTCGTTGTTCGCCGTAGTTTCTTTTTCCCGATCTTGCGCGCGCTTTGCTCGCTCGTAGCTCTTCCCTCCCATCTATATCCCTCCTGTTCCCTCCCTACATTTTCCGTCTTTCTCTCGCCTCTATCTCGCTTCCACCTCGTCTCTCTCCAGCCGCGTATCGTCTCGTCTCGTTCTATCGTTCTCTCCCTCCATCCATCGATCGAGCGCGGCCGTGGCGTAATATAGAAGAACCGAACCGTGCGGCCGTGCATGCGTGCGTGCGATGTAATTATCATCGTTCGTGCTGTCATTGATGTCCGAGGTGGTGTCGACGACGATAACAACAACGACCACGGCGACGGCGACGACGACGGCCGAAGAGCACTGCTGGCTATCTTTACGCGAGGTAGATAGTATAGCAAACCTTCTGACCAGCGGAGGAAACAGCTATTTTATTTCTAAAAAAGCTTTCTGTGTGGTCAGGTGGTGGCGGAGAAAACCGGGTCAAGAAGCATCAAAATGAGCAGCCGACCGAGGACCACCTCCTTTGCCGATTGCACCAACGCACCCTCGAATCCGCCCCTGGGTGGCGTGAGAGTGAGCAGTGAGTACCACTACCTAACCTCTACGTCGCATAGCTTTTACTCTTAGTATCCGTCCGTCTCTCTCGATTGCTCCCCGCTACCGTGCCGGATAGTATCTCTTGTTCTTTCTCTCCCACCCACGATCCCCACCCTTGGCTCGCCGCCCCTCTTCACCCTTTGCCGCTCTTTCTATCGTCGCTTCTGCTGGGCTCGTTTCGCCTGTGTCCGTCTCCGAATGCAGAGCTGCGCGTCTGCGTGCGAGTGCCTGGGTTTACTCTTGGGAGAGTGGCGATGGAGCGGGTGCAACCCGATGAAGAGGGTAGGGGGGCCCATCACTTTTTCAACGGATGTTCCTCGGATGTACCGACTTCGTAATTTTCATTTTTTCCCCCCGTGGCTTTTCCGCTGAATTCGATGTTCACGCGACACGCGTGCCCGCAATTGCGCAGTGGAAGGAATATAACGTGGAATCGTGTCGGAGGTGTCCCAAGTTCTCCCCGTCAGATCGTCGGTCGAACGAAAGGTTCGACGGATTCATGGAAAAGGTATTCAGGACCACGGGGGGCCTGCTTCGAGACCGTGCGAAGGTACGACGTACGTTTCACCTTTGCTGCTCAAACTCATTTTTACCAGTCGCGTACGGATCATGAATTACGTTTTTGGCTCGTGTGTCGAACGAGCAGTAAAGGTTTGATCATCCGTAACAGCACGTGGTTTAGATTCTCTTTGATCGTCATCGCATTGCATCTTATAATAATCATCGATCCTCGATTCGAGTCAATTATGATCTTTCGAACGATCAAGGTAAATGTACAACTAGTGGAACCTAACGAATAAAATCGTATGTACTTTAATTCGGTTTCGTCGCTCGAAACATTGTTAAGGGACCAGTCGATGACCTCGTTATATTCCTTCCATTAGCTGTGCCGTAGCTGTCCTCGCGCCTTCTCGACCATCGCCCGGTGGAGGTTCGTGAAACCGCGACCCTTTCCAAGGAGGGTGTCCACGAAAATCACGTGCTTCTCAGTCGCTACCAGAAATCGTTACGTACACGTTCTCTTCAATATCTGCTCGTAATTTAGAAAGTACGTAGACGCGGTAGAACGTCGTCCTCGGATCGTAGTCAGGGCGAGAAACATTGCATTCGGCTGATACCACTGCAATTAACGATTTCCGATGTTCTAACGGCATAGCACTTCCTGTGTATGGATAGTAGAAAATCTTAGTTTAGATGCAAGTTTAGTGACTGTTGCTCGCTCAACGTCAGCATGTCTATGTTGCATGGTTGTGGATATATTTTAATAGTGAATAGATCCTATAGAGTAGATTTAAATTACTGCTGGGAACTTTAACGAGTCACAGTAGAACCCATCATCGTCACTGTCGAAGACGCTACACGGTTTATCAGTAATTCATTTGATATTTTATTCGACCAAGGTATAGTTAATGACGAAATTATCGTTCGACTCTACGGCCAGATTGTCTAAACAGAAAAGCGAACTTTAATCCTATCGTACGTTCGATGAACATGAAATATGGCTAGCAATAAAAAGTTCAAGCAACGGGCCATCTTTTTTTACAAACTGCTTATGCAAGCTCTATTGCCAAAAATAGTCTATACTTATATGAAAGACTGTCTTCGACCAATTGTACATTCAGCTATTCTAATGGCTTCAATGAATAACTGAATTAACATGCAATGTTAATCAAATGTAATTTCGGTTCCCGTTGTCATAAATATTCATGAACTCCGTTCACGTGTAGAACTTTCTTTCGGTTCATTGCGAAGTTACAGCATGACTAAGCGAATAATCGTTGTTAGCGAGGAAATTGTTAATCACGTCGATTTCCAGCGTGTACATTTTCAATTTGTGCTCTCAGTTCTTTAACAAATGCTCAAACTAGTTTTGCAATTGATTTTAGAGGGTAAACAACCGTATCTCTTTCTCTATAAACGCGAAGGATTCCAAGATCAGTTATTAGCTAGGATAGGAACAATGCGAGAAGAAATGCGTCACGACGAGCACTGGGCTACGCCCTACTGGCTCCTTTTAAAATTCGGATAGTCGAGAATAAAATTGAAATATGCACTCGTACCACCTCGCCTAACATTTATTCAAAATCGATCATTCCTTCTACCTTTCCTCTTCATCTTCGGCATAGAAAATATTTGTTCAGAATCTGGACGTTTTCGTCCAGGGAAACGTCCACGATCCCCGTTGCAATATTACAAAGGTCGTCGATGTAGGCTTGCGTAACGTTAAAATAATCACTGGAGAAAAGAAAGAAGTGGAAACGCGAGGGTGTCTATTTCTAGCGCTCGACGGTCTGTTACGTATATTAAATTCACCTGCGTACATATTCTCATGAAGTATGCCCGACCTCGATAGCTTGTATATTTTTCTAATACATCGTCGAAAAAGCAGAAATAAATTTCCACGAAAAAGGGAGCCCTCCGAGTCGTGTAGGAGGACGTGTCTTACAACACGTTTTGATAGGATTCGATTGTTGGAGAAAGTACGTAGGTAGGTAGCATCTTTTGAATGTATTCATTTTCCTTTGGAAAATATTTTCCATTTCCGATAGGGAATCAATATTCGCATAAACCCTCGAACGACAGCGGATTTAATGCGCACGATATAGTCGGGCGTTATTAGTCAGAATTGAATTGCTAAAATAAATGCAATCGTGTGCCAATGATTTTAGGACCGAAATAACGACCTTTCGTCTGAGCCGGTGGTGTCAATCGCCGTTACCGTCATATCGTACCATCGTACTGTACGCAGTTCGCGTCGTATATTTTTGGCGACTCGCCCTTCTGCACGCAGAGGAATCGTTGCACGATCGTTCGTCTGCAACAGGGTCCTGCCACGTCCAGGTGCATTACGAAACGAACCACTCGAATCTTTCCCGTGCCCCCCTCGAGCGATGCAGCGGTTCGTTATCTAATCAATTTGCATGATAAATAAACCTGCAACCCCACGATTATCATCATATCCCGTGGGTTAATGATATCGATCGTCCTCCCTAATCCTTTTATGCCGACTGGCGTTCGGCGATTTCCAACCGGATTTTATTTTTTATTTATATTTTAAATTGTTTGCATCACCGTCGCTCATGAACGTTACAATTACAGTTGGTTACGAACGTGTGACGTAATGACGCAAGCGGATCGGCATTGAAATTAGGTCGAATCGTGGATTTTCACAAAAATTCGAAGGACGACGGGTAATCTTTCGAGCACAGCCCGCATTTGACCGCGTCGAAAGAAGCTGGTCGGCGTAAAAAATTCACGGGACCAGAGCTGCGGGCGCATCAGCTGTAAATGATCGCATGACACATTCATGACAGTCGGTAGCGGTCGTCAGGAGAACTGGGTCAATATTACGCCGCGTTCTCCAGGACGGAACGCGTGATCCGGGCGTACAATAGAAAAATTTTTCAATTAGAATCGAACAGGATCGAAACCGCGCGTGTCACGTGCCTGTCATCGACGATGGGCTAATCCAGTTTTAGGAAAAGTCAGATCTTTCCTCTCTTGTGAATCGCGCAAAAAAAGCAGAAAGCGTGTCGAGGAATCTCGGCCTGAAATCGTCTGTTCCGGCGGGCTTCGATCTGCTCCAACGGCGATCGACGCGATTTCTTTTGAATATGCAGTTTCACTTTTTTGCGCATGTATATTATTCAAATTTAACTGCAATTTTTGACGCTCGGTAAGAAGTAGTTCTCGACGAAAAAGTGAACGAGAACCAGTTAGAAATAATTTCCTATCATTTTTATTTGTCGGCTGATTACGTCTCAAGAGTACATCGTCTGTTTTGCTTACCCAGCTTCGATATGATTTCTTTTCATAGTAAAAGTTAATCCCAGAAGCCAATTTTCGTGAAAAGACTCGTAGAGTCAATATTATCCCACATTTTCATCCCCCGTCTGAAAGCCGTGTACACCGACCCAGTTCCAGTTCCTTCCCTCCGTTTGAAAAATCGGTGAACGCGTGCCCGACTATCTTCCTTCGCGTTGCAACGTCACGGCTACTTGCGTTGCGTTACTCGTTACAAGAAGGTTGATCACGTTACCGTCTCACGTGCCGTGATCCACCCGGATCGATGTGCCCCTCAGATTTCGAGTCATTCGCGGCACGCGAATTTTCCAGTCAGATTCGCTCCGGTTTTAGGAACAAATTTAGCTTTGAAGATCCACGGTTGATTAAGGATGTATTGGCTATACAGTCA